ATGTACTCTCTGCAACAAGAAGTTTTCGGAGAGTGGGCATCTGCGTAGACATCTACGAACCCACACAGGAGAAACTCCTTTCAAATGTACTCTCTGCAACAAGAAGTTTTCTCAGAGTGGGAATCTGCGTAGACATCTGCGAACCCACACGGGATAATCTCGTTATCGGTGCTGTATGTGTCTTACCAAGTTTTCCAATGGTCGAAACTTGCTGTAAACATCTTGAAACAGTTACTTTTTTTTTCAACAATACTCTACGATAACTCTAACTTTGCTTTGTAAAAAAATGTGTGGCACTCTCTATTTTGTTGCCACCGGTTATTTTTAAGTTTTTGTTTTCTAGAAGAAATATGATTATAGTTGAAAATGTGGTGCTGTAAAGCAGGTCAGCGATTTCATTGTACTTTTTCCAATAAACCTAATGTTTTGCAGCCCCTTTTGTTTGACTCACGCCTTTGTGGTTGTCTGGGCACAAAGGCGCTGGTATTAATTACCCCGCCACTATCGATAACGTGGTTAAATTAACCCGACCTGGACTGGCTAATGAAATCACGATGATTGAGAGAGGGGCAGGCGAGCGCTGGAGGGAGAGAGAGGCACCGTTGATTAGAAGAGCGCACAGTGGCGCGGCGCGGGGCTGCACTTCTTGCCGTAATCACAGGAGACGTGCCTGTAAAGGGCTGGGGCCCCTTTCACCTCGAGGCAGCGCGCGACAGGTCTGGGGGGCGATTTCGGTAGCATTTCAAAATAGTAGTTCTTTTCTGATTTCGTTTACTTTTACATCAGTCCAAGAGAAGAATTTCAAATGATAAAACTCCGTCGCCTCTCTTGCTACAACCATTCGTTCCTCCCTCATTTTTCCTCCTTTCCCCAATTTATTTTCGCCGTCACCCGTCATCTTACGAAACTCCGTCTTTTCTCGCTCAGTCACATATGCCGGGTGTAACTGTGAATGCGCAGCAGTGTTGCGGGATTGCATACTCAATAGCCATGGCCCCTTACGGGTGTGAAGAGTGGGCAAACCCGCAACACTGCTGCGCATTCACAGTTACACCCGGTACTGTACGAACAATATTACTTGTAGTGCTCACGAAAATCGCCGAAGTGCGTTCTGTTCGTACTGCTCTTGGTCTCCCTCTCTCTCTCTCTCACACACACACACACACACAAACACACACACACGCGCGACGCAGCGTTGATGCAACCGGATAGAGAGCGCCGCTCGCAAAAAAAACGGCAAGGGAAAGGCAAATGAGGTGGCGCTTCGGTGAATCGGATTTTATTGCTCCTTGCCGGATGTTTATTTATAGGCTCTCCGTGGCCCTCGTTACAGCCTAACTCGGCGTAACCCACCGTGTTTTTTCCTCCCCTTTTATTCTATGTAGTTTTTTTTTTCTACTATAGTTTTGCGGGATCATTTTATATTTCGACCTGACGCAATTTCCAGAGGGAGTACACCGGAAAACCAAGTGTGTGAATGTCGCCATGTAGGTTGGCCAGGTGGGCCAGTCGACAATGAGGTACAAGTGTATGGGAAATTCACACCTTTACTCCCCTGGGTGTGCGAATGAGGCATTTACACACCTAACAAGTGTGCGACATTCACACAATTTCCAGTGTGTTGTTCGCCCATGTGAAACGTTATCAGTTGAGGCACTGTACTTCTCTCCGCCCTACAGGAAATGGCGCGTTCAGGTAAGTTCGTGCGCAACGCGCAACGCTGTTGTTTGCTGATCAGCGCGCGCAAGAGGAGGGGAGCTCCACACATGAGGAACTGCCTCCCCTTGTATTAGCAGCCCACGCTCCGTGTCGAATAGCCCACTTGACTCGCCCCGCCCGAGCGGTCGACCCGGACGACCGCGACTCCCTTTGGCTGCGGTGACACGTCGTTCAATACCATAGTTCGATATGATAACGTTCGCGAAACTCGTTGATAAACGTGGCGCCTTATTTCTTTATACCTTTCTTCATTTCAGAGCAAGTCGATTTCAGCGCCTGATTTTGCAGCCCTGTTTTCAGTGTGCTTGGGGCATTTTTCCAGGCCACGCCAGTATTCAATTATAATTGGCAAATAGGTCCTCTTTTTGAACCACGTCATCATGATTAGCAGAAGGCAGAAGATGCGATATATTTTGATGATTATAATCCCTAGGTCTCTCACCTTCGCCACCTCTCTCATCGCATTCTGTCACTGCATATGCGATCCGCCGGTTTGTATTTTAGCCCGCCACCAGTTCGCGAGAGCAGTGTAGACCGGCAGTGCCACTCATCCTGTATATGTTTGTTATTAACATAAACCAACCCCTGCTCTTTTTACAAGCAGAGCGGTAACAGCGCTATTGAATTGTGTGTCCCCGCCGCACCCCTATCTCTCCTCCCCCAACCCCTCACCGCTACCCTCGTCAACTCCGCTACCCCCGCTCAGGCGGCATCGCCCGGCTTATCTCGACACATTTTATACCGATGTCGTCGTTGTAATGTGAATAAGCAGTCTCGCTTTCCTTTCAATGCGTTTACATTCGTCACTTTCAATTGAATTTAAATCGCCGCGCGCTGTCATCGGTGTTTGCAGCTCTTTGCGGGCGCAGGCAAGAGGAGAGACTGCGGCTCCCATTCAAAACACGCTGTCTCTTTTTCTTTGAGATGATACAGTAATGCTATTATTACCAACGTTATTTTAAAAGGAGAGGAGGTCAACAATGCTGCCCTATTCTGGAGCGTACTCTCCTTGGCGTAACGCTCTCTCCACGGTGAAAACAATATGGTTGAATTTTTTGAAGAAAGAGGGTAAACTTATTCGAGGAACTCCGATAATTTGAGGAAAACTCCTCAGATTTTGACGAAGCCTTCTCCAAAATTGACGGAAGTTCTCACCTTTTTGTTGGGAGACTTAAACTCAAAATCTAAGGAGTTTTCCTCTAACTAAAAGAGTCCCTCGCGCAGTTACCCCCTTTTCCCTTAAAAATCAGACATTGTTTTCCACCGTTTTCGTCCTCTTGCAAGGTCGGCAATAATAGTGGCGTGACGCGAAGGACGCCCTTTGTGGAGGGGGATTGGAGGGGACCTCGCGGCGTACGTGGAGGTCGGGCCGGGTCGGGCCGGGCGACCCGCGAGGGGTCGGCGGGGTCGCGCGGGCCGAAGGGTCCGGAGGGGCGCGGCGTACAAGGCGCACGGGGCGGAACAGTGTTTGAGAGGGAGGACAGGACAGGGGCGCTCACCTTGATTGGAGATATTGAATTATAATGAGCAGGGGGGGGGGGCAAGTGGAGCTGAACCGCACCCCCTCATCTGTGGCAATTAACAGTTTCGCGACTTGATTAGAGTACTCTACGTTGTGTGTGTGCGCGAGAGAGAGAGAGAGAGAGAGAGAGAGAGAGAGAGAGAGAGAGAGAGAGAAACGTGATCGGGGTGGTGGAACATGCAGCTAACGAAGCAGATCTGAGGCCAATATTAGCGGACATCAAAGGCATAAACACGCTTGGCGCCGCGTAAGACGCGCCCGCCCCTCCCCCGCCACGCCACCCACCCCACGCCACCCGACAGCGGTCCATGTCACCCGTCCTCCAAGGGGTTATTCGCCATGCGGTTCCTCGATTTGAGGTGACGTGCCACGCTTTACGAGTTTTTCT